CGTTTCAGCACGGCGTGTGTGACGTTGTTTGTGTCTCAATACACATTCCACAATGATGGTCTTAAAGTTCACTCACATGCGTAACAACCCTCAATTGTATCCATAGTCCTCAGCGATCTATTAATAGTTGACGGTTGATTGATTTTCAAACCCCGACTACATCATCTCGACAGTTGCTCACTAAGACGTCGGAAAGGTTTGGGATTGATTCTTGGGTCTGTGTCGCTATACTGTGAGTTAGTGGAACGTCAGGCTGCGTGAGTAAGACAATCGACTCATTTGTTGGAAAACACTGCAGCAAGAGTATACTAACATCCTTCTGGGTCCTCATCCAGTCCCGCGTCGTTGTCATCGACTCCACATCATGTGTCTCCGAAGAAGAAGGTGAGTTCTGTGGTTACTCTGTTGCCAGGTCCGTCAGGGAATGCTACCTTCAAATCTGGCTCCGTGAACCGCAAGAAAGAGCGTTGAGATCAGCATTTTGTTGGTACAAGCATATGGAAGGTTGCGGAGTCAACGGAGACCACGCCCATCGTATGACAAAGAAGGAAGTTTGTTTGCCCAAACTTGACATTGCTAGAAAAAGTGCTTGTATATATTAATTACGCCACCACGATAAAACGCGAGGCACCTCAACTAGCACACAGTATGCCTCTTGAGGACTTCTGCTGATCGATAGCGGTCACATTACGATAATTATTCTCAATTAATTAACTTAACCATCTCATATTACTTCGATAAGCAACATTCACGGCCAGAATAGGGAATCATAGCGAAGCCTTTCTTGCACTGAGAGTCTTACTAGTAGTTTGCATGGCGTCGTAGCACCAACATACTTCACTTGCCCCCTCGTCAATGTCAGCCGAGTCGTCGAGATTGCTCGCCGTTTCCTCGTGAAGGTCAGCAACTGACCCTCAGCTAAGTCAGTACTAAACTCTCAAGCTTCACTACGGAAGGTTATCAAACCAGTACAACGCAATGCGCACCATATCACCTGGCAGGGTATGAATAAAAGAAATCAGTACAGACAATCCCCTCGGCAGTCATAGCGCTAGGAGCGCCCAATTTATTCCTGTCTAAGGGTATTCCTATCCATAAATGTTGCACAAAAATGCATCCGAGTACAATTAGCTTGGTACCAAACCATGGGTCCACGTAGTCGACAGTCACCTCTTCTCCCTCTTCAATCGTGCGCTTCGCCACCACCATCACCACAACGTTCGCGCGGTTAATCATCTCCACAAAGTGACATGCTGCATCGCACGAGTGGTTCAGCATTCGCGTCATACTGCCACACGTTGTCGCGGTAATGTACACTTTCTCGTTTCTGGTGCTTCTTAGCTGCAGCTCCAACGCGTAGTCACTGGCCGACTCTATGTCTGCCGCAAAGTCGCGAGTTGTTAGCACCCCAGTGTAGTTTCCGATAATGGACCCGGCATAAATTGTTGCAGTTGCTTTGACTCCGATCCCAGTTCCCTTGCAAACCGCCAGCTTCAAATCCTTACACTCGAAGAGGCTATTCGAGCACTTTCCGT